GCTGGGGGAACCTCCCAATCACCCCATGGTTAGGGCAGCAAGAGCCCTGGGGAAGATGAGGGCTGGGTTCTGGGGTGCTCACGGGTGGGTTGTGCTGTGCCCTGGGCTGCGCAGGGTTGGGGTGGGCACGCCCCTTAGCACATAACCACCAGCATGGTCTGGGGGTGACAGCAGCGGGAGGAGAAGAGGATGGCAGCTGATGTGGCTGTCAATGTGAGCTGATGGGGGACTTTCCTGCACCCCCCAGCAGGTTCCTCAGAGGAGGCAGAGAGCGACTCGGACGAGCGGAGAGGTAAGCGGGCGGCGGGTGTTCTCCTCTCCCCCAGCCACTTCCCACTGTCCCCATTACCCCCCCATGGAAACTCCCTGGGGGGCTCCCAGCTCCCCCCAGGCCCCCAGGGAGGTGGCCAGGCAATCCTTGCTTCTTCTTTTTTTTTGCAGATAGAGACGATAAATAACTGAGGGCTGCACGTCTGTAACACGGTCCAAACCACGGCTGATCCTCTGAGTCCTTTGCTCCTGCTTGTCCCCTGTGTCCCCTCGCTCCCCCCAGCACCCACCACCCTTGCCCCCCACGCAGGGCAGCTCACCTGGCTGGTGCCTGCGGTTGCCTTCTAACCCCAATTTGTCCCAAGAAATCAGTTGCTTCAGTCACCCATCTGCAGCTGAGCGGGTGCCTGCGGGCACCTCCTTGCTGGCAGGGAGGTGGGCAGGTGCCCCCCACCACGTCCACCACCCCCTGTCCCCCCACATCCTGCTGTGCCCCCCACACTGCAGGGGGAGGTTGGCCACCCAGCACCTGGGGAGTGTTGGCACCTTGTGTGGGTCAGCTGCAGCCGAGTCCCCAAATGTTGCAGTGCACCAGGCTCACCCCAGGAGTCGTCCTGTCTTGTCCCCCACTTCTGTCCCCCAGCCATCCCTCCCCAGGTGGTCCCCAGGAGAAGGGGTGATTCTCCAGATCAAGCCAGAGTCTGCTTGATGTGTCTGCTGAGTGTGTGAGGGCAAAATTCAACCTCACGATCAGAAACGCTGGTAGAAAAATACTTTTTTTTGTGCATAAGAGAGCATCTGGCTTTCTTAAAAAAAAAAAAATCCTTGTCAAATCTTGTTTGTTCAATAAAGCCTCTGAGGGTCTGAGCATCACTGATCCT